CCAAAAAAAAATTATAAAATAAAATAAAGTTGATTGTTAAAGAGATAGCCTGCCCTAAGGGATCCTTTTAATACATTACCTATTCTGCAGTACTGAAAACCCAGTTATTCAAATAGGGAATTGCCCAATCTTCATAGAATTGACTGCAATGCTTGTAAGATTGATGTTTGGCAAGGTTCTAATCCCATCAGAGCCTCAGTTGAAGTACCAGATCATTGGACTACCAATTTCAGGCAATTGTTTTGGCAGGATCAGGGTCAGAGATCTTTCTTAGATCTCACCCTGAGATTTTTTTTCTTCCCTTCGGTTGATTTTTCTTTTCAATTACTTCAGAAATTGAACCTTATAAATAATACCATGAAGGCTTCCTGGTACTCTTCTTTCATTTTTTCCTTAACTTTTTTTAGAAAAAATTAATTATTCCTTTTTGTTTTTTCCTTAATATTTAGTTACTTTTTGTACTTTAATTAAAAAATAAATTAATAGTATGCGACCTATGTTCCTTTTGTGGGGTAAATTACATAGACCCCCCCGGTACTAATGGGTCAGTGGCAATTACCCCCTGAACTTTTCATTTGCAACAAAGACCGCCTGAACTTACACTCTACGACAAATATCCTCTGCTAGAGTTCTGTCAGTTAACTTTGAAAAGATTCTCGTTCAACTGTTTAAAATTTTTTAAATCCCCAAACTACTCTTCTTATTTATTGAACGATTTAGGAGCCGATCTGTTTTCTAAATATAATATTGAAGTCCTCTCGGTTACTCCCAATAGATTCTTGCAGATTTCTGGCTGGATTCAATTTTGAGATGAAATGGTAGAGGTTTCTTTCTGATAGATATGAATTTAAGGTATCATTTGGTTTTTCTTGATTTATTGGAGAAAGAAGTGGATAATTTTTATATTTTAAGATAAAGAGAGATTGGTGTCAGTGAAGTGAAACCAGAAGTTAAAGAGAAAAGGGCAGGGAAAAGAAAATAAGAAAAGTTCAGGTGGGTATTTTGGTAATTTAACATATTCTGTCATCCGACTTAACGGCCGGGGGGTATTTGTCACAAATTAAAGTTTAGGGGGTAATTGTCACTGACCCCATAGTACCCGGGGGGGTCTTTGTAATTTGCCCTTTTTATACTTGTTAACTTGGTCCATTTGGCATTAATTCTGCTGAGTTTCAATTTAAATTGAATTGCAAGTCACCAAAGCTTTTTTGAGTTTCCTGGCTTTAAAGCAATGCTGCTTGGGTGTGGCAAGCATATATTAATTTATTTAGTAAAGTGTCTCAAAATTAATCTGCCTATTTTTAGTTAGGTATAAAATTTTGGTTTTTGTGGAAATGTTGGTCTCCCAAATATAGGAAACATGTTGAAGATGTTGGAATTGTCAAATAGAAATGTTGTAAAAATTATAAACATGGAAATATTAGTAGAAATATAAAATGATATTTTATGAAATAATAAAAGAAGCATACAAAAAATCCTTTAGATAATTATCTTGTTCCAAGCCATTAGACAAAGCCATGGAACTAAGGTTAATAGACAAAACAATACTCTATAAAGTTGTCCTGTAGACTTTAAGAGTTAAAACTACATAATAGTGTAAGGTGAAGCAGAGAAGACTACATCTGCCCTTGACCAACTTGGCTCCAAATCAACTGATCCCTTGATGCCCCTTACTTTGCTAATTCTTGCCTTCCAGTCTGCTAACAGCCATGGAACCCATATAACTTTTGCTTGTAGCTCCTTATTAGTCTTTGTATGCTTGTAGATCTCTTAAAACATTTTTATAATTCCAGGCTACATCCTGTTTTCACACTTTTTTGGCAAGTAACTAGAAACAGGTGATTTTTTACTCAATTATGAATTTAAACTGTAAACTTTATGTATATCAGGATGTACCATGAGGCAATCTCATATTATGAAAAAGCACTTGCCTTATCAACCAGAAGTTTGAGCACTTATGCAGGTCTGGCATACACTTACCATCTACAGGTACTTGAAATGTTCCAGTCATTTCTGGTTTATTATTTAGCAGAAAGTAACATTTCTACTATGGTGGTATTATGCATGAGAAGATTTTAGATTGAAGTATAGACAATTTCATACCCAGTGCAGTAGATTATTTTTCTTTCATTTTAAAGCATTTTCTATACGGCTCTTTAATGAAAGGGGGTTTGTGAAGGAATTGATCAGAATATTATTAATACTTTGGGTTTTGGAAAAATTCATTACGATATGATGTGGTAGTGATACTTCATTTTGTACACAAATGGTAAAGATACATACAGGGGAAATTAGTATGTAACAAATATTTTTAAATTTTTGTATGCAACTTGAAGTTTCAGCTACTCTGTTTCTCTAAGTTACATATTATAAATCTCCTATGGGAGGTGGCTGTTAACATGCAATTCGGGAACAGTGCAGTAGTTTGTGGCTGTTAACATGCTTGTGATGTAGGAGCATCTGAAGGGAGCTACAACCATGCTATAATAAATCATATCTCTACAGGAATATTAAGAAATGCTACATTAATGCTTCACCAAATTATAATTATGTTGTCATGGGAGAAATGCAAGAAACTTTCTTCAGAAACTTGTAAGTTCCTTAGCTAGCAAGAAGTGATTAGGAGCATTAGTTGTAAGAGAATTCCTTGGGAAGTTTCTACAATTCTTAGGGAGGGGGAGAGT